AGTTCAAAGCGTGACCTAGTTATCAGTCATGACAATCTCTCATTATAACCTTAGAATCCGTACAAAATCTCCACCACAAGCATGCAAAAGCTGGTGTTACACAAGGTTATAAAAGATTGACAACTTTAAAGTGAATGAAGAGAGGAAAGCTTACTACCGAGGGCTTTCCCCAGTGAAAGCATGACTCCAACTGTCCCTCTCCCTCTGCCCAAGTGATGCAAACTGAGAGATTCACCACTAACTCATGTCATATGGATCGGCAGACTCATGTTGATATGGTCCCTTTAAAAGTATTCTTGTAAATAACTAACAATCTTTGCTTGGTGTGTAGCAGACAGGCTTGTGTAAAATAACCGAGATCATGTTTTCATCCTGACTGCTAGAAGTTCCTATTCATTAGCTTGTTGTCATATCCTTATACCCGGATACAGTTTAGGGGACTGATAATGGGAAGAGTCATAAGAATGGCCATACTGGGTCAGACCCAAATGTCCATCTAGGCCAGTATCCTGTCCTCTGACAGTGGCTAATGCCAGGTGCCTCAGAGGGAATAAACAGAACGGGTAATCATCAAGTGATCCATCCTTAACTACTTAGGTTTCTAGCTCAAATTGAGCCTAGGTTGGTGCTGACAGCAAGTTCCCATTAACTAATGGTTGTTCACAGACACGCGAGATGAGCTTGGTAGTTCTCTTTCCAATTTCTAGTGGGACTGTTGTCTACATTACCAAAAAACACACCTCTTCAGTTAGCACTCACTGGCATGATCAATAGCCTCAGTAGAAAGGCCAAGGATTAAATGGTTATGGACTCTGAACTATTTTCATCCCACCCTGAAAGGTCAGTTGAGGCACACTGATAGAGAGGAGCTGGGGAAGCCTGCTCTGCTACTGACTGTACTGCTACCTGATCTGTGAACAAAGGACTTCAGACTCCTGGGCTGTCAATCTGACACTTTATATTAGATGTTTAGAAGTTAGAACAGGGGTAGGCAACCTATGGCATGCGTGCCGAAGGCGGCACGCGAGCTGATTTTCAGTGGCACTCACACTGCCTGGGTCCTGGCCACCGGTCCGGGGGGCTCTGCATTTTAATTTAATTTTAAATGAAGCTTCTTAAACATTTTAAAAACCTTATTTACTTTCCATACAACAATAGTTTAGTTATATATTAGAGACTTATAGAAAGAGACCTTCTAAAAACATTAAAATGTATTACTGGCACGCGAAAGCTTAACTTAGAGTAAATAAATGAATCCTCGGCACACCACTTCGGAAAGGTTGCCGACCCCTGAGTTAGAAGATCACACTGAATATTTAAAAATATATATATTAAACAACTATTCCTGTAACTCTCTGTGACAGAGCGTCAAGCCTCCGGATGTGTCAGTCAGATTGTGCTTTCTAGAGTAATTTTTCCACAAATATAAAAAAATTTAAAAAGTTATCACCAGAAATATTAACACCCATTAAGAATATCACAAAATGGCCTAGCGCAGGGTTCTCAAACTTCATTGCACCACGACCTCCATCTGACAACAAAAATTACTACATGACCCCAGGAGCAGGGACTGAAGCCTGAGCCCCGCCATCCTGCGTGGGGGGGGGCCAAAGCCCGAGCCCCACGCCCCTGGGTGGAAGGGGGGCAAAGCCAAAGCTCAAGAGGTTCAGCCCCAGGCAGCCCTGGGACATTCTTCACTTCAGTTTCCAGAGACTATAAAGATTTAACAGACTTCTTTGACACTAACAAAAAACTATCAAGTGTTTGTCTTGACAAATCACTAAATATGCATTTGTAGAGGATTTTGCTGGGGCTGAAGAAACAAGCACGACTGGTCTAAAAAAAAAAAAAAAAAAAAAACAAAACAAAACCAAAAAAAAAAAAAAAAAAAAAAAACAAAGGGGCAGGGCTTGCACCATCATACTGCATGCAGGGGCAGCGCTTGGTCCAAAAAAAAAAAAAAAAAAAGCCCAGAGAAAAATGGCCCCCAAATTAAGTGTAAAACCCCACGGGCTGCAAGTAAGTAAAAAATGCCACCAAGTCTTTAAAAGATAAGCCCAAATATCACGTAATTTGAGCTACTTAGGCAACCCCATGGTGGGCCTGTCTAAGATACAGAAGGCCACACTGCTGCATGCTACAGCCTCACCCAACACATCCCTTCCACTTCCAGCCTTTTCCCCAACACCCAGATCTGCAACATGTATTGTGTGTAACATCTCATTTCGGTGCCACAAGTGGGTAGTATTCAGGGGATAACACCTCCTTCCTCATTTAGGTGGATGGCAGAAAGGAGCCCCATATTCAAACCCTACCGAGGGGCATGCCAAGTGGCAAACGTTATCATATTTAGAATATCTGCATAATTTACAGCAAGCAGCATCTGATTCTGGTGACCCATCTGAGTGCTTATTTTGTGGAAGGAACTTGGAAAGAGTATCCTTCCTGCCATTTGACCCCCAGAAAGGAGAGAGAAGAAAGGGGGATACAGAACTCCATTTTACATGGCATAACTGACATTGATTGGCTGCTTAAGTCGCAGGGGGATTCAGATGACATTTTAGACCACAATACAACTGCCACCACCATACACATAAAAGTCATAGATCTATCCACCAGATATCCCAAGTGCTCTCCTCTTCTCGCAAAAAAAGGTGATTGACAATATTCTGCTTTAAAACCTGCAAAGTAGCATTTAAAAGAGCAAGGTACTCCTGATTGAGCAATTTAAAAAATGCAGTCTCTAGGACAGCAATTTTAGGCTTAAAGCTCTGCTTGTGGTCACATAATTTAAAAAGTCTACTATGTGAACCATCAAAAACCAAACAACCATTTTTCTAAATTATTGAGCCAATTTTACTGACATGTAAGTTGTTTACTGTCAGTTTGATTTCTTGTAAAAAGTATTAAATTCACTGTCAGTTTAAAAATATTACTGACTTCCAGTAACCCAGAATCCAGCACCAGAACCTAGTCCCAGTCTATTTTTTGCTTGTTAAGGGGCTGCCATGTGAGAGAATAATCAATAAGTCATGTAAAAATTGTGATTATTCTGTATGTCAAGTCCTATTTTTGCAGAAGTGTGCCAGACACTTACATTCTGCATGTTTCGGTTGTGCCCTTCCACCCCCAGTTTGGCACTAAGGAGGTAGAATTAATTTTCGAGGCATTGAACAGTTAAATTGGGAGCAGCCTAGTTAGGACAATGTTTTTGCTGAGGAAATTCAGTTTCAAGACAGCTTTGCAAAGTAAACAAACAGCCTTCCTACTAGGAAGTCCACATGACCTCTTGGGTTACATCCAATTGATCACCAGATGACCAATTTCAACAAAGATGGCCACTTCTGGCATTTACAGATAATGTGCTTTTGAATAGTGTACAGTATACCCATAACGGAAAAACATTTCTGCTGAATGACCTGTTCACTACAAAATGGATAAAGGAGCTGGAATTTCACTATTACTAAACAAGAGAATAATATTACTGTAATTAAGAGATAAGTATTATTATTACACTTGAGACAAAAAACAGCCTGTAATGGGGGAGAGGAGGTATTATTGCTTAAAGTTAACACATACAGGTTGAACATTTTAAAATGCACAGAATTCCTTACTAGTAACATGGTAGATTATAAATACTGAAAGAATTAAAAAAAAAATCTAATTTACTTTTCACCACATATGCCATTTAACTGTTTTTTTCTCATCTTGGACAAGTGAAAAACTATTCAGTTTCATGATTGTTTTCAGTCAATTTCAGTTCCAATGCTAGGATATTATAGTTGCAATTACTCCAGAGGAATATTTAAACAGAAATCAGAAAATGTTGAATGAAACCAAATTGAAAGTAGTAGTACATTACTAAACCCAACACTTCAGTCTGGAGCGTAAACTATGTGATGTTACTTCCAATTATAAAATATTACTTGTACAGCGGTTTTAAAAAGTCATCCTTTACACAAGGACCTGCCCTTTGAATAAACTCACACTTACAATAATAGGGAACATTATTCTTAGGTATTTCCCCATTTTTTTAAAAAATAGATAAGATTAGAGGGATACGGTTTTCACCTTCATTTCCAGCTGTGAACTGTCATATGGCACTGTTGTCCCCTATTATCCAGCTGCCACATTCCAGTCCAGATGTGGTTACCTTTCACTGGTGAGAGCAAGGATTTCTGTACACAATATTTCTGTAAAGCACTTTAGGATCTCTTAAGGGGGAAAAAAAAGTGCTATCTAAAACCAAGATCATCAGTGTTCAAACAGTAGTTGCCCATCTCAGTATTAAGGGGACAGAAAAGGCAAAATAGGAGCACCTTTAACAGATTTATAAAAATTTTTCTACAGTCCACCCAATTTTTTCTTTCTTCTAGATAACTTCCCCCTCAAAGTAGCTGACTGTGCGACTCAGCTTTCCAAGAAAGACAGACTTAGCACCCTGCAGCTCACGGTGATAGGCATTTTCACAAGGCTACCTCCTCTATATAGATGTCCAAGGTCTCCTGGCACATTCGGTAAGAGCAAGTGGTTGTGCCAACATCTTGTTTAAAAGCCCTCACCTCCCTGCTGCTCAGCTGTTGACCCCCCCTCCCACGCATTCGCCCCAGAGGTGGCCTTGTGTCAGTGTTAATTGCTCCATAAAGTATGATCCCCCATTTCTCCCCTCAGCCACCCCCAGTTAGGCAACCCATAGCCTCCAAACCACCCTCTTCCTTGGCACCCTCCCCCTAAATAACGACTGCCCCATTATCCCCTATGCATATAATCCCCAGTGGCTGGCACTCATCTGAACCTCAAATCCAGTCACACTCTGGCCCCCTCTGCCTAGCTAACTCCCACCCCCCCAGCCCCTCTCCCCTGTCCCCCCATTTAACTCCCTCCTCCCCAGCTGCCCCCCACAACCTCCCTACTGAGCCAGACACCTGCCCGCCTACATGACGCCCCTCTCCCCACGCCGAGGCTCCCATTAACCCGCCGGGCTGCTGCCCGCCACTCACCTGAGCCGGGGCGGGGGCAGCCACCAGCGCTTGCTGCTGCTGCCGCACAGGAGCCCCGGAGCTGCAGCCCCTGCCCAGCCGGGCACGGAGGGGCCCCCGCAGGAGACACCCGCGAACCCCCTGCGCCGCTGCCATAGGCCCTGGCTGAGCCCGTCCCGCACGGAGCCGGCGCCTGCGGGGGCAGCTCAGGCTGCTTCTGCCCGGGACAATAGCAGATGCTGCTGGCCTGAGTCACGTGGGGGGGAAGTGCCCCCCCCCAACCAGCCAATCGCAGTGCGGGGACGGCTGAGGACGCCGTGCCGCATGCTGGGAGTTGTAGTTCCTCGCTTGCTTCGGGGACGCAGGTGGTTCCAGGCTGAATCCATAGGGAAGGATCGCTGTGTAGCTGGCAGGCGAGGATTAATCCTAGACGCCCCGCTCAGGCAGCTCACCAGGTCCTTGACCCCCTGACGCCTGCTGCTACAGTTAACAGAGGAGTGGTTTGGGGCACTTTTCGTGTGTGTTTTAATTAAATTACAAACAAACAAACAGTGACATGCAAAGGCAAAAGAGAACTGGGGCTGGGACATTTGGTCCTGCTCATGCGATCACATCCTCCAACGCAGATCTAATGGCAGGAACAAGGCCTTTATTTACTTTTTCATGATGTCAAGAGAATGCCCGAAAGAAGTAGATTTTCAGGTTTTGTCTGCCTTGTGTTTCCTGCTGGAAGACTCTGAACAAACAGAGAACTGACAGGGATTTTGACGTCAGAAATACCATTGCAAAATGGACAACGTGATTTTTATTCGGACTGTTTAAAAGTTTGTTTTTGCTATTCCTGGTTAGCTCAAGTGTATGAGAAACAGCTGCAAGAAAAGATATTTTTGTTAAAGATTCAAAGTCTTCAAAAGGACTGAAAAATCTCCCAGTCCATTTTTCTGGGTCCTCTAGCAAAAACAGGGAAGACAAAATTTTACATACTCAGTACTTCTAAATTAAAAAAAAAACAATAAAAAAAACCTCTCATGTTGGAGACTGACAGGTAATTATACTTCCATTTCACTTTATAGAACACACAAAAGCACATGTTTGATCCAATTGATGGCAGTATGCTGGTTCAATTGATGATAATATGCTGGTACCTTTCATTCCTACTTTTGTTTTTCTTTAATATAATGTTGCACCATGGACATTTTGTATATATGCAAAAATTGAACAGTAGGTCTCTACCGACTGTAGGCCAAATCCTGTTTTCAGTTATCAGAAGCCTAAACCCCTACCATTTGAGCTAAAAAGGCAACACGATTAGTTATGATTAAGCAGCCAGCTGTTATAGTCATTGTTCAATTAAGCAAACAAATATTTTCAATAATAAAGATAATGTTTAATTAAAACATAAACTGCTTGATGTTGTGTGCAACTGCAAAAAGGTAAATGAGCAAGTTATGGCTTGCCTAGTCACCAGCAGTTTTGTGAATTCTTTCCATGGTGCCTCTATTTTCCTCTCCCTTATGGTGGCTCTTCCCCTACAGTCAACAGTTTGATTTTTATCTTAACTACAAACACCCACGCAGGTGCTAAACTATACTTACATTGATTTTGATGGAACTGTGCATGTTAGAAAAGTTAAGCATATGTATTAATGTTTGCAGGATTAAGGCTTTAGGCCCTGTCTACGTGGGAAAGTATTTCCTGTTATACAAGTATAGTCTTACTAACCCCCTATGGGTGTTCTTATTCTGAGATGTGTGTCTTTTTTCAGTCTAGCTTAAGCTCCTTCCCAAGCAACATTCAAACAAAAAGAAAAAAAGCCCTTCTTATACTGGAACAAGAGTTATACCATATATTACAGGCGGGTTATACCAGTACAAATATACACTGCTCTACAGCCAAAATGCTTCTGAAATAAATGTAGTCAAACTTTACTAATTCTGGGTCACTGAGAACGAAAATGATGCTGAAAATTGTTGATTGGCTCTAGTTTTCAAGATATGCTATTGGGTCAGTATATACGACCCTTGACTTGGGAATGGCGGAGGATAAGTGAGTTATAAAGGGAAGGGATCTCAATTTAAACCAGAAATGACTAAAATACATCTTTGACTGGATCTATGAATAAATCTATGACTGGGTTTGGACAGTACTTGCTTTTTAGGCAAAACAATGAATGATGCAATCTGAAGCTGGTATTGCGTCATACATGATATGAATTGCATCATGTTATTCCTAGAAGTCATGGATGATGCAATCATAACGAAGCGTACATCACTCTGCTGAACAAATTGCCCTATATCAGCTCTAGAAATCATACAGTGTCGTGCTCTCTTATTTGTCAGTGTTTGATTTTGCAAAGGGACACATTTCTGTTTAGCCAAAGTGAGCAGAGATGCCTCATACTTGTGTGAACAGTGCAGATAACTTCTGCTATGTTTGTGGTGAAGTGACTTTTGCATCACAAAAGCGCAGTATAACCACTATGGTTAAGAAAGCCTATCACCTTTATTTTGGCTGCAAAATTGAAGATCAGGATAAGAGGTGGGCCCCACACATATGCTGCAACACTTGTACAACAAATCTTCGCCAGTGGTTGAACAGGAAAAGGAAATCTGTGCCTTTTGCAGTGCCAATGATTTGGAGAGAGCCAACAGATCATACCAGCAATTGTTACTTCTGCATGGTGCCTCCAGTTGGGAAAGGTGTGTCAAAGAAGAAAAAATGGACTGTGCATTATCCAAACATTCCATCAGCTATACGCCCAGTACCCCACGGAGAAGGACTGCCGGTTCCTGATGCACCAGAATCATTCTCACTTGAGTCAGACGAGGAAGAGGATGAAACTTCTGGTCCTGAACCATCAATGTGACAGGACCCACATTTTCTCCCATCCTCCTCCTCTGAACCACACCTCATAACACAAGGTGAACTGAATGACCTTGTCAGGGATTTGGAACTACTCAAGAGTAAGGCAGAGCTGTTGGGCTCCAGACTACAGCAGTGGAATCTCCTGGCAGGTGATGTTAGGGTTTCCATGTTCCGTGACCGTCAAAAGGATCTTGTCCCATTCTTCTTCATGGAAGGTGATCTTGTAGCCTGCAACAACATCGATGGTGTGATGGCAGCCCTCAACATCGTTCACGATCCAGATGAGTGGAGACTGTTCATTGATTCATCGAAGACGAGTCTTAAAGCTATTTTACTGCATAATGGCAATGTTTTGTCATCAATTCCAGTTGGTCATGCAGTCCATATGAAGGAAACCTATGACAACATGAAACAACTTTTGAGGTGCATAAACTATGACCAACATCAGTGGCAGCTTTGTGGCGATTTGAAGGTTGTTGCTCTCTTGCTTGGTCTGCAGACTGGATACACAAAGTACTGCTGTTTTCTCTGTGAATGGGATAGTCGTGCAAGAGATTCCCACTACATCAAGAAAGATTGGCCACTCCGACAGTCATTGGAGCCTGGGAGGAAAAGTGTTCAGCATCCACCACTTGTTGAATCAAGGAAGATTTTGTTACCACCCTTACACATCAAGCTGGGTCTGATGAAGAACTTTGTCAAGGCCATTGACAAAACACAAGCAGCTTTCAAGTACCTCCGTGGAAAATTTCCAAGGTTAAGTGAAGCTAAGATAAAGGAAGGTGTCTTTGTTGGTCCTCAGATTCGTGAACTTCTTCGAGATGATGCATTTGACCATGCACTGCGTGGCAAGGAAAAGACGGCATGGAAAGCCTTCCAGTTAGTGGCAATACATTTTCTCGGAAACAACAAGGCAGACAACTACAGGTTGTTGGTGGAAAACCTCCTCAAGGCATACAAAAGCCTTGGTTGCAACATGTCACTAAAGATACATTTTTTGCACTCTCATCTAGATTTTTTTCCACCAAACTGCGGAGCAGTGAGAGACGAGCACGGCGAGCGATTTCACCAGGACATTGCAACAATGGAGAAACGCTATCAGGGCAAATGGAGCCCATCAATGCTTGCAGACTATTGCTGGACAGTGACAAGAGATGCTCCATTTAATGAATACAAGAGACAAGCCAAGAAGCGCCGAGTAGACACTGAATAGGACTAAACTTATGTACAGAATAGTTTTTTGCCTTTTGTTTCATAATAAATTTTATTTATATAACCCTTTTGCTGATTTTTAAAGTGTTACATAAACAGGACAGGTGAAATATTATCATGTAAAGCAACCATAAACACATGAAAAGACCTAGGTTTACAATTTATGATTAAAACTCTACTATCTACACAATATACATAGACATAAAATGTAAAAACTTAAATATCTTAGGAACAGTAGCCAATCAGTTGTTTTAATTGTCATATTTGAATTCAGCACATCACAATACATAATAAATAGCACATTTTATCTCTGAAGCAGACGACTTCTCAAAAATTGTAGACCAGTGTATATTAGCTCAAAAATCACACCTTAGCTTATACCAAATAGACTATTCTGGGTAGCCAGAGCCTCAGACAGACTGTTTTCCTTGTGACTTTCAACGGCTTTCCGCATGCCCAGCACTCAGTAGGGAATTGAAGGTGTGAGATTTGCATCTTCATCCCACGAATCTGTGTTATTTTGTGCCCTCACATTGTAACCACAAGTTATTATGTCTTGATACAATATCATGTCACTGCAAGGCATGATATTGATCCATTTACTGCAGGATGAATAGTCAATCCTTAACATTCGGGACAGTTGCCTTATTTCAACAGATGGGAATCCTTGTAGAAATTTTTCTGTATCACCAGGCTTTCAGTTATATGAACAGCTGTGTAGTGTGTGTGACTTATCTCCTGCATCTAATCGTTCTAAAGCCTTGACCCCAAGGAATGTGATTCTTGTTTCGATTCTGACCTACATGGAGTTTGATGAATTACCCTCTTTTTATTTAGTTATTTCTTTTGTTCTGAGTTTTGGCTGAATTCTTATTTAACCCATTAACCACAGTGCAGAACTCAGCCAAGCGATTTCTGGTTGCACCTTCCCAGATGAATTACACTCTTGGTACACTGAGACATTTTGCACTTTGCACTGTGCCATCCAGATAAATCAATGTGTTAGCCAAGATGTATTACAACCCACATGAACATTTGAAGGGCAGAGTCCTTGGATCAATGTACTTTATAAGCCCTTACGAGAAAATACAAGAAAAGGTTGGCTGGTCCTGGTCCTATCTGTTATCTTTTT